ATGCAGTTGAGTGGTGGTGAAAAACAACGTATTGCATTAGCTCGTGCTCTTGTCAAGCAACCTACATTTCTTTTATTGGATGAAGCAACAAGTGCACTTGATAATATTAGCGAAAAAATTGTTCAAGACGCTCTTGATCGAGCATGCAAAGGTAATAATTGTTCTTTTCTGCTTATCTTATTGACACATGAATATGTGTAGGTCGTACAACAATTGTTATTGCTCATCGTTTGAGTACAATTCAAAATGCTGATCAAATATATGTATTAGATAATGGAAGTGTGATTGAGCAAGGTACACATGAAACATTGATGGCAAAAGAAGGAGGCAAATATCAATCAATGGTCAAACGTCAACAAATGGAAAGATTCGATGATGATAAAGATGATATGATCAGCATAGAAAAAGCAACAAAAGAAGAGGAAAAATCTATGTGTATGTTAATATTCTAATAGTAATACTCTTCATTATTTTTCGCTGCTTTTTCTTTAACAGTAGAACGCTCTCGTTTGTTTAGCGATAGTCAAATTGCTGATATGAACGAAGTACAAAAGATTACTGCGATGATTTATAGAAATTATTATTCATAATCTTCTATTTTTTAGCAAAGTTCAAAATCATTCACACAAAGATTTGTCCTTTGGAGACTCTTATCAATGAATAGTCCTGAATGGATCACTATCTTGATTGGTTGTATAGCTTGTATACTTAATGGAGCAGGTCAACCATTGTTTGCATTTTTGCTTGCCAAGATAGTTGATGTGAGTCATCGAGCCATATAAATAATATGGAATAAAGATTAATTATATGTATTCTTTTATATGAATTTATTTTATTGTGTAGGCATTCAAATATTGTTCAAACTCTGAACAACGTACTCATGTGTTGATTACCAGCTTTATTTTTTTACTTGTGGGTGTTGTTTTATCATTTCTTCGTTTCTTTCAGGTAAAAATGTTGCTTCCAAATTTGATCAATGATTTATTCGTTCTATTCTGTAGTATGCAACTTTTGCCATATCAGGA